TTTTTCAGAGTGATTCAAGACTTTGTTAAAGTAGAGTGGGATTTGTTGGGTCTTAGATTTTACTCTTTTTGAAGCTCATGAGTTTGTTGTTTCATTGATATTGTCTGTAAAGTCAAGATTTCTGGGTCAAAGTCAAAGGACCTTATTGCTAATGGCACAGCAAACAGCATAAGCAATGAAATATTTACTTCAGTTGCTCTTTCTTTACATTATGTCCCACACAGGCAGTACAATGTGTGCAGATGGACATCTGCCTGCAGTAGTATTGTGTCATAGCCAAGCACTCAGTTTGGGACTTCCCCCTTTAACAGCAAGAAGTAAGAAAGTTTGCTATTTATCTCAGACAAAGATTCATGATGGATATTGTTATTGAACAATGCCCATTCCTGGTCCTACATTGTGTGTGGTTCTTAAAATATTTCTCATGATTATTCTTCACCCACCATTCTCATTAATCTGACTGATAGAGGCTAAAATTAAATATAATTAATTTGTCTCACACAGCATTTAATTAAAGGTACTTCTACAGAATTCTAAACCAATATGCTGAGTTAGCTAAAATCATGTCTCCTATGATGCCAGATTCAGCCAATTGTGAGTAAGTCCTAGATTATAGACAGCTAGGATATAATGTATTATCCATTAAGATCCTTATGAGGGAGTGTGTAGTGACATGTTGATACTTGGTTTAATTGCAAAAAGAGACAAAACTTCAAACATGATTCCCAGTAGAGAGATATTCTGTAGCCCCCTTTTCCCAGACATAACATGACTGAAGGGGTAGGTTAGTTCCATTTGGAATTTAGTGTTGTACCATATGGGTAGTCTCTGTAGATATTCATGGACCTGGGACTTTTCAGACATCTTGACAAACATGTATCTTTGTATCAGACAGTTGGAGAAAAGCTTTTCCTGACCCATCTGTAGAATATAGACAGTAGTCTATGATGGGAAGTTGCCATTGTTGTAGCACAATAGATAAGGAGAGGCCATATTCACATTAGCTTCCTGTTTTAAGGGAATGTAGACAGGATGACAAACAGCAGCAGGTCAGATTGACAGCTGCAGGTGCTGCTTGGGCCCAGAAGAACATATTGTTCTTTTCTATTATTCTTTTGTATTAGCACTTTGCATCTTCAAGGGTCTATGGTTCTTACAAAGTTGCCCTCCAACTTTAGAAAGTACACTGCTTATATATTTTTTCAGTGCCTCCCATTAAGTACATCTACATTCCTGGACATTATGTAAAAACAGAACATAATAGCTCCAGAAGAGGGAGAGAAGAGATCAGGAACAATAAAGAACTTGGGACCAGAGGAATGATAGACTGGCGAGTTCCCTCAGTTTTGCTTTGCTTTATATAAGCAAAGTGGATCCTGCAGAAGCCAATAACCTGCAAATGTCAGTAAGGGCAGACATTAAGCGCCAAGAAAAACTCGCTCTCTCCAGCCAAAGACCCATGGAAAGGATAGCCTAATAAGACAGAGAATATTGAGACAGTAACCCATGTACTCCAGCCAAACACCACATAAAGTTTACAGAAACCAAGGAAACAATTGAGATGAGAAAGTAATTGAAACCTAGTATAAAACTTCGTGGTATTTTTAACTCACCTTTGCCCTCTCTCCTTATCACTGTCTCAAAGATAGTCTTTAAATAACAACACACATTCCCTGTATGAGTTCTGGTGCTGATAGAAGCAGAGCAGACATTGTTATCAAAGCATAGTGCTTGAGTGCTCAATTTGTCTGGCATTTCCTTGAAGGACTAAAACAAAGGACTTGCCTGTATATCACATAACCCAGAACTCTATTGGGCAGGGAAATGACTGTGGACTGTGCAGATTAACTCAAAAGCATTTCACTAAGGTGATTCAACAGCATATTTGAGCACTTAAGAGAAAGAGTCCTCAAACTTGGGGATAGGTAAATTGCCATTGTCCAGTTTGATGGGGGAAAAGAAAGAGAGAGACCAAAGTGAACAAAGCCTGAGACCTTTGGCCATTATCAAATATACAGATATAAGTATAATAGCAATCCTAGAAAAGTAGTGGAAGCAATAAGGTAAAAAGAAGGATACATGAAGAATGAGCAAAAACTTCCTAAATTTGATAGAAGATAAGAATTTACAAATCCAAGTTCAACATGAACCAAAACAATAATGATGAAGAAATCCACATTCAGACACATTATAATCAAACTGTTGAAGAGAAGAACAAATTGACAATCTTGTAAGCTTCAAGACAGAAGTGACTAAACAGATGCAGGAATCCTTAATAAGATTGACAATCAGAAGGCACTGGGATGTATCTAATGTGCTGAAAGGAAAAAAACAAAAACCTCTTCAGCAGTGATCTTGCCATAAATTTTTTTGTAAATAAAAGATGAATGGAGGTAAGCAAGACTAACAGTGTTCATCATTTCTGGACCTTCCCTACAAGAAATCCTATAAGATTCATCCCAGCAGTAGGTTGGAGCCATAAAAAAAGAGTCAACAGTGGTCATTGTCACATAGATAAATAACCAGTATTTTGTATGTATGGTTTTATTTTGTATTTTTCCTATATAATTTAAAAAGCATGGGTAAAAAATACAGATGTGAGCAGAATGGGGAATGGCAAGTATAGCTTTCCATATAAATAAAGATTTCATTCATTCTGGCTTTTTTTTAACTAATGCAACTCACATAATTCAAATCAGCCCTAATTAGTGCAATTTGAAATAGGATTTATCTTAAAATAATCTCTTTTTGAGTAGGACCAGGTTTTTCAGAACTTTGTGGTTGTCAAGACATATCTACAAACTTATTGCTGTGGAAAATAAAGACTGATAAACACAAATGGCAGGGAGAACTATGGTTTTCCTTTTTTGACCGATGGCCATGACACTGCCCTGAAGGCACATAAAGGAGTCACCTCTATTTTAACATTACTAGGCACAAAGGCCTTTGCAAGACAATGTTGATGCTAGATGGATTCTGTCATTTTGCCAAGTGGCTCTCGGGTTGGCCACCATATTTATTTTTGTTACAAATATTACGAGAGGTGTGATTTTTATAAAGACTCTGCTTCAGGCACACATCCTGAAGGTTTTGTGTTTCATTTTCAAACATTTTCCATAGCTGTGGTGCTGCCCCGTCTTTGCTGCTGTCATTCCTCCTTTAGTTTTCACAGTTAATGAGAAATAGAGCTTATTGTTTTTGTCATGTACAATGAAATCTTGAAAGAAAGAATTTTTCTGGTCTCTTCCCCCCCAATTCTACTTCCTGTGCAGTTGTTGGTGGGAAAGAGAAGGGTCTGACCAGGTCATATTTGGTGGATGGTAATTCTATGGCTCTTGAACAGGAAAGGGCCTACTACATGCTGGCCTACAGTCACCAGCTTCTGCAAAGTCACAAAGCCCCTTGTGGGACAAAGAGGACATGTATTTCCTTTGCTTTTTCCTCTATATACTCAAGACCATAATTTTTAGAGAAAAACTATAACTTTCTGAGATCAACTCCTAAATATCAGGGCTTCTTTCAAGAGAAGGGAAGGGATAGGTGAAATTAGACAATTAACCATTATGTGTGGGTATTTTTTAGAATCTAGGTGCTGCATCAACTTATTAAGTCCTGTTTCCACAAGGTGTGTCTTTGGTGGAAAGTGGAGTGAAGAATTCCAAGCACTCTGGTCCCAGCTTTATTTAAAAGTAATGCCACAAACAAAAACACCAGTCAGAATGTCTGTATCAAGAAAACAAAAAGCACCAAATGCTGGTGGGAATGTGGAGGAAAAGAACCCTTATGTGCTTTTGGTGGGCATAACAATTAGTCCAGCTATTATAGAAATGAGTAGTTTGGTGCCTTAAAAAACTAAAAGTGGATCTGCCATATGAACTAGCTATACCACTTTGCTGGTTTTATATTCAAAGGAATCAAGGTCAGCATAAAATAGGCATACCTGCAAACCTATGCTCACAGTGGCTGCAGGAATCAGTCCAAGTGCTCAGCAACAAACAATGGATAAAGAACATGTAGTACATATGCACAGTGGTGTATTATTTAGGTATAAAGAATGGAGTCATGTCATCTGCAGGAAAATGGTAGAACTGGACATTACCATATTAAACAAAGTAACACTCAGAAAGTCAATAGCATGTGTTTTCTCTCATATGTGGAATCTAGGAAAAGAATAAAGATGTGGAAGAAGAGCTATTAGGAAGGAAGAAGGAGACCAGGAAGGAGAGAAGGGAAAAGGGAATGCTGGGTTGCTTATGACCAATGTACATTATAGACATATATGAAAATGTCACAATAAAACCATTATCTCATAAAGTTAATGTTCACTTATAAAAATCAAAGCAAATATTGACCAGGCTGTGAGCAGGAACCATGTCTGTTAAGCCAGATTTTAAGACATTGTGTTTTGAAAAGATTCTTTTAAATTACAAGAAGTTTCTTTAAAAATTGGAGATGAAGGAGTATATGGGGTGTCAGGCTGCACATGTAGAAGTTCTATGTAATATGAAATACCCCTTGATTTGCAAGCATCTCACCCTGAAATGTTGTAAGTGATTTTTCAGTGCAAGAAACTGGATTTTGGAAATAAGTGCTTATTACTCAGAAGAGATCTGCCACACACACACACACACACACACACACAACAACACATCTCCCATATTAGCTTGGGCAAATGTCTTTTAAAGTTTTATTGACTAGAGTGTCAGAGTTTGAACAATTCACATTTGAAGGTCTGCATTTTAATACTTTCTTGATCACTATTGCAACACCATTAGAGGGCAGTGTTTTCTTAGGAATGCTATGAAACCTCAAGTGCTGTGTGTGTGTGTGTGTGTGTAAAAGGAGAAAGAGAAAGAGAGAAAAGAGAGAGAGAGAGAGAGAGAGGAGAGAGAGAGAGAGAGAGAGAGAGAGAGAAAGAGATGAGGACATGGGAGGGCCTTGCTGGTATAGCAGAGGTGGTGGAAAGAAATTTTTGTTCTAATTGGTAGAACAGAGTCTTTTATTTAAAATCACTCCTTGGTGAACTGAGGAGAAAGAATGATGAGATCCTTGAATGCTTTACTAGTGATCCTGTGGCTTCAATTGATCTGTGAGTTGGGCATTCCTACGGGAACATAAAGTACAGTGTTGGAAGTTTTGTCTGTTCCAGGCCTATGAATAGAGACATGAAGATTTTTACCTTCTCATTGAGGGAAGTTGTGAGGCCTGTGAAAGGATAATTTAGGTTCTTTGTCTGACCATTGTCTTTCTGCACAGGGGTGAGCAGCCAACAAAAAGAGGTGGAGCAGCATCCGGAATCCCTCAGTGTTCCAGAAGGAGCCATGGCTTCTCTCAACTGCACTTACAGAGACAGTGCTTCTCAGAACTTCGGGTGGTACAGACAGTATCCTGGGAAAGGCCTCAAGCTGCTGGTGTCCACATTCTCCAGTGGCAACAAAGACGAAGGAAGATACACAGCACATCTTAATAAAGCCAGCCGGTATTTTTCCCTGCATATCAGAGGCTCCCAGCCCAGTGACTCAGCCACCTACCTCTGCGCAGTGAGCACACAGTGCTCCCCAGACACCTGCAGCCTGCACCAAAACCTATGGGGACTCCTGCAGGGCCTGAGGCAGAGTACAGACCATAGGGCAGAGAAATTCTGTTGTGCCATGGAAATCAAGAGCAGTAGCAGGAATGGTTTCATTGACTGGGGAAGTGTTTTGATGTTCTGAATTTTCTCGAAGGGAAATTAAAAATGGAATATTGGTCTGATTGGAATACTTTCTAGTTTTCCCTTTCATTCCAATTTAAAAATTTGTATTGAGATATGCACAAAAATGATGTACACATTTAGTGTGTACATCTTGAGGAATTTAAAGATAAAGTAACTACCTGTGAAACTGTCATCATATACAATATTCACATAAATATTACTCCTAAAAATTTCCTTCCTCTTTCTTTTTTTAATATTGAAGTAGAATAGATATGCAAAAAGGTACACATATTTAGTGCTTGACTTTGATGTACAATCCAGTTTAGTACAAGTTTATTCAAGGGGATTGCTTTTAGTATGCTTTTTATGCAGAAAATAAAATGTTTTAATATGTTAGGGGATATTCCAGCAGTTGGTAATACACCTTGCTCTTTTCCATTCAGTATTTCAAGATATTTGATACCTTGAACCAGCAATAGAATGGCAATAAAAAAGAGAAATGGAAAGGGAAGAAATGAGTCACAAAAGATCTAATTTGAAAAACTCATTATAAATTATCTCATTTACAGATCTCCCACTGCATCTACACTCTCAGTTGAAATCTCACCCCTGGATTAGTTAAGGAAACATTTGATGGGTCGAAGAAAGTACTAGAGTCAGAGGGGAGAGCTGGTTAAAACAAAAAGCTCAGACCATTGCAGAAATAAAAAAATTAGAAAGGTTATAAAAATCAGAAAACAACAGCTGAGAAGTGCTGAAAATTCATGTCCTGAGACTTAATGCTATGCAGAGGAGAGTCCTGTTGAGGTGGGGAGCATTGTACATGACCACAGAGAGTGCCACCTCCCAGCAGGAGATGAAAACACAGTGACACCTGATTTCTTGGAAGGCTTTCTGAGAAGGGGTTTAATACAATTCAGACACAAGAGGCTTTGTTCTGGAGAATCAGGTCTGCCTGAATCAGCTATCATGACAACATGGTATTGAGAGTCTTTTGGTAAATTTTGTTGGGGAAAATTGGAAACACTGAAGAGATATCAATGTCCCCCTCCTTGACTCCTGGGCAGCATGGAATTGACAAGCCAGTAATGCCACGTTCAGGAAAAACATTTTCACCTTGATGGGAATAGACCTCATAATAGACATTAAGTTGAAATACAGGAAAAAAATTAAAGTCGCACTTACTTGGTCTAAGTCATAACGTTGCTCATGTAGTCCAGGAAGTCAGAAAAGCTTGGGCATGGGTAGTTAAGATTTTGTTCAGTTTTGTTCACAAAGTTACTGAGAAAATGGATGCAACACAATCAAGATTTGTTTAAATTCTTGATCTGCAGAATTGGAGACTCTAAAGTGTTTCCAACTAATAGAGGGAGAGATTGGGACAAGCAGAGTCAAAGAGCAGAAAGTTGTGTGGAAATCAAGAACACATTTCAACTCCATTTTGATTGGGTGCCTTCTGGCATCATAGTTCTGTTGGAAAGAACATCTATGATGTTACTAATGGGCCATGTGGACTTAGGCTGCTCTGTTTTATGTATTTTTTTCAGGATTAGTTTCAGAATGAAATGAGATGAGATAACATTATATTGTCTCATGATGTGCCTCCTGAAAAAGTAGAGCCTGGATTGGGAATTCTTTTGCCCAGGATGTGAAGGAAAACAGGGAAATGTAAAGTATGGATGTGGGTCATCCTGAGTCTTAATTTAGCTTGACCGCAAGGGAACACTGGGACATGAATTGCACACACAGAGTTGCTCTCTCCTAGCTTGAGGTAAAAGGGTTTGTCTAGTGATCTCTTGTGACTGAAGTCATTGACGTGATCTTTCTTGGGGTAAATATTCTTGCTGGACAATGATGTCCATTCTTATTGATTGATGTCAGTTTTATGGAGATAGGGCAGCTGTGAGTCAAAAGCAGCCAACACTCAGCTAGCAGCTGGGTGTTGGCCATGCTGACCTGGGAAAGGGGAAACACCAAACTGTCCACGTTGCATCAGTCGGAAACTCTCCTGGCACGATGAGCAATATTTGAAATTTTGATTTCAATTTATCCTCTCAATGGAGTAGATACAATGGTCTTACTGGTTGTGCAAGAGTTAAAAATAATTTAAGTTAAAGAGCATTTTAAGCAGGAAAGATTTAAAAAAAACATAAGGAATTATCTTCACAGTAATCTTTAGAGGATATTGAGAATAGTGAGCAGGGAAAAGTATTAGTATCTTAGATTTTCTTGGAGAGTGATTCCATGATTGTGTCTGAATATTTGTACCTAGGAGAAATGACTGATGATTCACAGTTGGTAATTTTGGGCTTCCCTGAAAGATAGAAAGAGATGTTATCATCTATATTTCTGAATGGATAGCTTTTTACTTCATCTCTTGTTTATACTAAACAATGAAGTGCTAAGAGGACGAAGGGACTCCTTGTGTCCCTTTATGAGTGGGGCTGGCCAGCAATTCCCCCTGTGGGCACACAACATGAAAATGGAAGGCTTCTTAGGTAGGTGACCGAGCAGCACAACTGGCAGTTTAGTGGCATCTCCTCCCCTAAACCTAGTGCCAGTTTGAAGATGGCTTAACTTCTGCCTACTCCTCACTGAAATCGTGTGGATTCCCACTGTAGTTCATTGCAATGTAGTGAAAAATAATACCTGGAGCAAGGCCAGTTTCCCTGGTGCCTCTCACACCAGCACAGCTGCAGGAAGAAGGCTGTCAGGTATATCTTGTCTACATACTGACCACCAGAATGATCCCTTGGTGTTCTTCCTCCACCTTCAACATACCTTCTTCTTCTCAACCCAGAACCCCTCCAGGGTCCCAGTGACTAGGTTGTTCTTCTGTCAAGCATATTCATTGGGCTTGAAGTGTTTCTAACAGTTTTTTCTGGTTAAACGTTTTCCCTCTCGCTATTTGTAATTCCATTGACTGCTCACCTTTTATCTTTCCATGTTATGGATGTTTTATATCTTTCTTTAAAATTATTTGTACTCTTATGGATTGTTGGTCGCCATGCTGTGTTATATTTCAAGATTTTCTCCAAGTGGTAAATTTTGGAGAGATGAAGAGTACATGTGCTTAGTCAGAACACTTTAATCAGAAGCACGACCGTATGGGTAATGTACCAGTTGGGTGACTGCTCGATGACCCTGGACTGAGAATAAATCGGAGGTCCTGGTGAGTCTGGGAAATCAAGCATTGGGTCAGAGAGACAGATTAAAAGTCATAGTGCAATTTTATGGAAGAGGACACGAATAGTATGGATAGTGAAGACAGCAGCAAGATTAGAATGTTAGGCTGTGACTGGATGGTTTTGAAGGCCTGGAGTTCTTTGGTTCAAAGGTGGGAAGAAGTCCTGGGTCACTTTTGCAGGCATTGGCTTAGGGTGATTGACAAGTTTAACTGACAGGAAGATATTGTATCTATCACATCCATTACTGGTTATAATTACACAATGAGAGATGCAGGTCTCACCATGGTATGAAGTTTTAAGTAGAGGGGTGTTGCAAAAGGTTGCTCTTGAGGACAGGTTCCGCATCCTAGTGCATGCAGGTGTAGTCTGTTGATTTTCTCTTCTGCCAAACTCTTTTACGCCATAGTAATGGTGGGTATTTGAGTTGACACCACAAAAAGGGGATTTCTAGAATGTTCCACGCAGATGTTCAATGAAGGAGGCAGGTCGTAGAAGGGGCTTGGGACATGGGTCCTACGGCTGAGTAATTTTATGACTTTTATGTGGGTCAGTCTCTAGCTCTCTCTTGGCCAACCTTCCTGCCTGTTCTTGCTGTCGTCAGTTTACCACTTAAAAATTTTTCATGCTGCTCTATATAAGATGATTTTACCTAAGAAAGGAAAACCCACGAAACAGGATCAATACATATGATAGAAGACCTGAAGGAGTAGTCCTCCAGCTGAAGAATGTGGCGTTGGTCTTCACCTCTCTTCATTAGGGCTTGTGATAATTTCCGCTTCTAGTTCCATCGGGCCTCTATGGCTAACAATATAGTTGAATGCGAGAGAGTTTTAGACTTTATTAGTTCATAGAAACAGCTGCTCTTGTTTGCTTGGCCCTGACTCTCAGCCAGTGTAATAGCTGAGTGCTTTAGATATGTTGAAGGGTCACTGTCAACCTCTGCATGTCTTTCTATTCCTCCCACAAGTTACTATCATTTCTGGTCTGCTGGTGTGCTTCTTCCTACTTCATTGACTTCAGGAAGATTTACTTTTAAATGTTATATTTTCTTTATTGTTATCACTCACTTCACTTTCTCCATGGATGGACACATCAACATTCCTTTTAAGTGTGATACCCAATGATTTTAGCATATATATATCTGTCAATTCTGGCCATTAAACAATTGGAACAGGACTCTCACTTTTGCTTACTTCTTAAACATGTGGTACTTGTGTGATTTTTTTCTTTATAACCTTAATTATATCAATATTGTTGACCTGGAATTCTCACTGTCTCAACACAACAACTATAGCTTTATTAGGTAGTGTTGATTGATTAATAAATGACATGTGTTCCTGCTGATTTTTAGTATAAGTCTCTGGTCTAAATTCGTTACTAATTTAACAACAAATATAGAACAATCCCTTTCCCCTCGGTGATGCTCTCCTCCAGCAGCACAGAACTATGGGAAAGCTCATCTCAGCCTGAGAGTACTGGTATCTTACCCTCTGTGGGATGAAGGGTTTTGTAATTATCATGGAACTGACATACTGAAATTTTCCAGTGGTGAGGGTCCTTGTTCCTTGCTTAGATGAAAATCAAAGGCAGACTTGAGCAGCATAGGTCAGAAAAGTTTTGTTTATAGAGAAGAGGAAGGAAAGAAGTGGGATGCAGATGCCATTATCCCACTGAGTTAGGGGGATGCAGAAGCCTGTATTCCACTGAGTTAGGTTGGATCTTGAGTTTTATAG